TATATATATATATACATGAATACTATCTCTAATTATTAATGGCTCCATAAAGCCTTGCTCCTAAATCACATTTGCGACTGTTTTGAAGTAGTTCAAGGCTATTTTGAGAACCAGCAACTGGAGAAATTAAGATGCAATGTATGAATAGTCCGTGAAGCACGAATTAAGACAGAAACTGTTTTACTTTCTTATATAAGGCTTATCTTTCAACGTTATATATATATCTTTATTGATGGATGCAATCGATAATTCATACGCTGCGAATCCAAAATGTATCGGATTTTTAGTTTCTCGAAGACAGAGAAAAGTAAGGATTGCTATAAATAAATTCTGCCACTAACACACATTACTGGATTAATTAATAAAACTTGAAATATAGAAAAGCCAGCCAGGTAACTATTTAATAATTTCTATAGGACTTACAATTACTGTTTTTACGATCATACGTTTCTTATATGCTTGCTTCCGTTATTTTCGAGACGATTGTAGAGTATACGTAAAAACAATTGTTCATGCCTTCGTTGAATCGATTAGGGTTGCGCGGCAACATAAACGCAGCTTATGGACCGGAAAGTGGATGTCCTCGAAGGTGATGTTGAAAATGTACTATAGGCCCAGCGATCGTATAACGGGAGCATACTTTTCCAGGCTGCGATCGATAAAGAGCCGCCAACCATACGGGTTGGCATTGTATAAAAAAATGAATTATATGGGAACACGCTCGCATTCCGTTTGTGGGAAATGTTAACGTGGGCGTTCTCCCTCTTTGTAAATGTTATACGATAAGTCGGTTTTCATGACGAAATCGTTACCGCTATTTCTATGTCGGCGTATAAACAAATTGCTTCATTCAATTGTCTGTTGGCGACGCGTAGTTTCGATCGAATGGGAATGATCTGACATTTTCTTCCCTCGAAGGGCGTGACGCCGGTGACGGAATCTTCTTTTGCCTTGGCGAAATCTTAATCTTCATTAAGAAATTATGATCCGACACGAAACGCATTTACGTGTAAGTTTTACGTTGATGCGTACGATGTTAACGATGATCAGATGTTAGTCGTTAACGTTATGTTCATTACTATAAGATTAATATAGCGTCCCATTATCGTAAAAGTTTTACGATGCCAATAACAATTTAAATTATTTCATGATTTTAAATGTGATTAAAGATCTCAAATTGAATGTTGTCCAATCGGCGAAAATGTCAGAAAGCATTCCAAATGTTAACACACGGTGGCACGTGACTGATACAAACCGCTCTAATGAGTATTATGGACAGAGAACAGGTCGATAGCGACTTCACAGCACGCGTTAGCAAACAGTCACAACGCAATTTTGGCATGGAATTCTGTTTTTATCGGATTTGAGCTTTATTTTGTCGCCACTAAAATAGATGACGTTAATGCTTGTGTCTATCAAATATCTTATCCGGAATTTTCGGACTCTTAAGATTACACATTTCATGCTTCGCAACGAGACAAAAGAAATCTCTTGTCATTCACAACAGATCCCTCTTTCGTGCAACTTTTCTGTAAAACATTTTTGCGATTCGCACGTAGCCATGAATCGCAATACGAATACCAAATGTGTTTGATGTAATTTTTAAAGAATAATCTGTCGTTTCTCGGTTGATAGTGACCATTTTGTCCTCGGCATATTTAATTTTCATGGACTATTTAATATAAGTAATTCACTATTTTTTAAATTTCAGGAAAAAATTTTAAATTAACTTTTAATTAACATTCACACTGAGAGCAAAATGTGAAAGAAAAGTTTATATTTTTTTTTTAGTTTTCTAATTAATTGCTTTTCTATACACAAAATGTTAAAATATTATAAATAGCTGCCGAGTCTTATCTAATATCAATAGATTTAACTCTTCATTGTATTGTCTTGTTCAATTTGTTTATTATGGAAGGCTGTTTCAGTCACTGTTTTGTATTGTACGAGAAGTCGCGTTGAGACTCGATTTACGTGCGATATAAAATTCTCGGGTGTAGAAGGTCGTCCACTGTCTCTTCGACATTCCTTCGCAGCCGTGGAAAGTCCAAAAATACTAAGGACTTCGACATCACAACGGACAGTGAGATGGACAAGGGAAGAGATTCTTTCTTTTGCGGAACGTTAAACAGGATTTCAAAAAATAGTAGAAATCGAGTAAAAGTCCCGCTAAGCTCCGTTTAGTGTTGTGGAATCATGATCGTCGAGAAACGAAGAATCATTGGATTCTATAGAAATTAACTTACCATACAGAGCGAGCAGCAGCAGCCATCGTTTCTCTCGCATATTGGCACTGTAACAAAAAAATAAATTAATTATACATTAATTATAATGGAATAATTATTATTCAATTAGTAAATTGATCTGCGTTCCAATTAATTTAATTTTAAAGATGATTTTTTGATAAAATTTTAAAAAAGGATTATATTAATTTATCATTTTATTAAAATGTTATTAATATATAATCTATAAAGATTAATAATTTTAATAAAATTCCAACGTATATGGAATAAAAATGTAGTAATTAAAAATTTAGTAATTAATATAAATTAAATGTAATTATAAAATATTGCTTTTTTATATCGAAATACCAAAGTTCTCGATTTTGCGCGACATTTTTGTAAATGTTTTTATCGTCAATTTTTTTCTCGCTCAAGGCATTTTTGAGGACAAGGAGGTTTCTACGGTTGCGAAATATTAGTCGAATTCTTCGGGCTATTGAATGATAATCGCACGGCACTGAGCACCGGCGAACATAATCAAAGCGGAGTGCCTTAGCACCGCGCGTAGACTGTAGAGGTGCTCGAGCATATGGGAACGGATAGGAACTTTCTCTGTGCTGTCACCACTGCTAACCATATAATGCAAGGATAATGCGGGTGTTATATAAATGCGCGATCACGTAATATCGGGTGTGACTTTGTAGTAGCGGTTGCGAATGTTTAATTATCATAGCCTATCGATGCTCCCGGAGCACATAGTTTAAAGAGCACTTGTAAAATTTTTCAAAGAAGGTACACGATGTGATAATATTCTGGTTTAATAACTTATGTTAAACCATCAGGCGAGCGATAGTTGCAGCGTTCTTACAATAATAAACGAGTTTGCATTCTTACTCAGAAGGTTGAAATCTCTTTGCCTTAGAATTTTTCAGTCTCACACATCACATGTATCTATTCTGTGTATCACGACTTTTACTTGTGAAGTTTATTGAACATTGAGTTAAATTTGCTACAAATTGCCACTTCGTATAACAGGTGGCCTTGATTTTTATGAAGTTTTGATCATCGTCGATAATAAATAATTCACACACCGTAATGGCATCGTGCTCTTAAGATTTTATTTCTTTTTTTCCTCTCGTCTGGTGAAAGTAACCTTGCAACCTTCCAGTACCAAATTAGATTACCAATCGTGATCTTGAATAATAACATGCCATGAATGTATTATAATGATTATACACTTGTTACGACTTGTACAGTTAGCTATTAATGAGGTTCGACTCATCGAATTTAATCAATTTGAGATTAGGTTTATCAATGACTATATAAGATTATAAAATTACGGTATTTGATGTTTGGTATTTGATTAATACAAATTAATTAATTACGATGATCTAAGTGAGATACGCAACAGGATGCGAAATATTCTTGCTTATCGCTTTTAATTAAGCAGAGAGACGGCACGTGATTTTCGAATGTAAATACACGCAATTCCTACGTTCTTCTCAGTTTTCCGTACAGAAATGTGCCGTACATGCTCGCATTAATTAAGCGCGCTATCGCGCTCCAGTTCTCAAACAGATTCTTATCGTTTTTGTAAAAGTAGGAAAGAAAGAGAGAGGATACCTCCTGCACGCTGCATACAAGACTGCATTATTCAGTTACACAAGTTTTCGTAATTGTTCCTTTTGTTTGTGTCACAACGCAAAGAATGAGTTCTCAGGCAGTATGGGAAGTCTTCCCCAGATCAATGATCAATTTCATTCGGAAGCTGTGCAAACTAGACCTGGATCGCAATAAAATTTATAAATTTTTATTCAACACAAGTTTTAGTCAGCAAAATATGTTAGGAGCTGTACATTTCATAATCATGTTATATAATTTACTATTTTCTTTCAATTCTTTTATATCTTGTATTTATCTATTTCCTGTGGCACATATATGTATGCATTATATTAGATAAATAGATATGCAATATTTTATCGTGTAAACATAACTTTAATGCGTGACGGAGAATTATTATGTCGACAGAAAACTTTAATTTATTAATTATACATTACAAAAATAAGAGCTACAATCTAAGTACGATTTGTATTTGTTTCGATTTTTATCGTTTATGAAACATTTTTCGACAGAATTTTTCTTATTAAGGTATGTGTGAGATATGTCAGTAGTAACATTATCTTAGTTACTTTATATTACGATCAGCAAGTAACGGTCATCGACGCCCACTAAAGGTCACCGGAAGTGATGGCTGGTACCAATTGATTGAGTTACTCAATTGATCCGCCTTCTTAAATTGAACTTCATGAGTGTAACAAAAAATATACTTTAAAGATTTTCAATCTTTCATGAATTATTTATGTTCTTTCTCTAAAACTTGAATAATAAAAAAATCTTAGGTATAATATTAATTTAAAAAAAATAGCTATAAAGGAAAAGAAACATTTATATTATTTTTTAAATTGAGAGATTATTTTTTAAAAAATAATATTTTAAGAGAAATTTGATATTTTCGATATTTTTAATTAATTTCCTCTAATAATTTATAAATATACTTTTATATATTTTTTTCCTATTATAATAAACAAACTTTTTCAAATGGTACTAAGCATTACGATGCGATTACAAAATATAGCTTTCAAAAATGTAGTCGAAACACAACGAGCTTTTATTTCATCATACGTTCTATGCGAATATTCACTCTGAACTGTATTATTGAATTAATCGGCGATCGTGAAAAATTATGCATTGATATTAACTACAATGCAATGCAATGGGAGAAATAGTTAATTAAAAAAGTGTGAATACACATTGCGAAATTCTGACAAGAAAATGTTTTCGCTTTTCCAATGTTGTTTTTTCTCTCATTAACGAGCATTATTAAGATTCAATGGAAATAATATAAGATTATATGTATATTATGTTCATATAATTAATTGTGTGACTTTATGATAATAATTTTCTTCATAGCTGAAATTTACATAAAAAGCGACGTGTGAGAGAAAAAGATAATATCAAGAGGTATTGAGAAAAAAATTTTAAGGACTTTTGTTTTTTAAATTTCTAATTAAAAAGTAAATAATTTGTATGTTTGGTGAAATATTAAAGCAATAAATTTAAAAAATATTTGCATATAGTAAAGACTTTTTGTATAGTTTGCTTGTTTTCTCAACAGAGCAAAAGCAGCTTAAGTCAGATACATTTCGTATTTCTAGAATGTTTATATCTTCATAAAGCAGATCTGCTTAAAAATAGATCTCCGATTGCGATTCGTTAGATCAATGAATCAGATACGAACAAAATGCTTCTCGCTATTTTAATCTTGCTATCCATAGCGAAGGAAGGATATTTGTTGCATTAGTTACAAGGCATTGTTTGCCTTGTAGGTAGAAAGTGTATACGATTGTGCAAAGTAAACGCATGCAGAACAAACGTTAATAACAATGAGAGTTGTTGATCGTGCGTGCGCGTGAAAAAAAAAATCTTTCGTAAATTAGATTATTATCTGATCGGAGTATGAAACGTTGAACTTGCTTGGACGAACGCCAGAGCCGCATTGGAAATTTTTGAGCGCTACGACCAAAACAAAATTCTGCGCTACTGAATGAGATAAACACGCATAGAGCAAATCTTAACGTTTTCTTCGCGAATATTTAAAAGACTTCATATTTAAATATAGAAACGCATCTGAACATGCAAAAATGATTTGAAGTTTGAAATATTGGAAAGATAGCAAAGACTATAAAACAAAATTATTAGTATTACATTTAGAAATAAATCAAAGAAATGTATAATAATGTTAAATAAAATTATATTGGGACAGAAAGATTAGAATTGATTTATAAGAATATTTTATTAGAACTAATTGTTTATTTTTTTTTAAAGCAACTATGAAACGTGATCCATCTTAATAATATTTCTTTTTAATTCTGCTACTTAAAAAAATGATTTATTTAAAATATTATAATTATTATATCTCACCAGTATATCGCATTTCCACAACCCAAAGCTTCCGTTCTAACACTAAAACGATTTCTCCTATTAGAATTTAGAAATTCTTCCATAATCCATTTATGTGTATTTTTGCGAGGGAACTGTTTATGTTATTCACGATAAACAGTGTATTAATAATTTACGTAAAGGAAATACGTCTAACTTCTTCCTTAAGACAAAATAAAATTTAATGAAGAAGTATATGAAACACATAAATGGCTTACGGTGGTATTCAGAAATTAGCTTCTATCACCTGCATTCAGAGTTTAACGTACGCTCCAATGACCACGGAATTGAAGTAATCGGTACCGTTTATCGTAGATTATTTGCTTGCGCAATAAAGCGATAATAAGAATAATTGCCGTTATTTCTATCGATTAATTGCTGCGCTCTAAACTCGATACACATACAACATGTCTTCGATGAGTTGATTGAAATTTAACTAATACTTTAATTTTGATTAAGAATTGTCATTGAGCAACATTCAGAATTTGTTCGGTCGAGTCGATCAGAAAGTGTTTCGTCGAGACATGAGAACCGGCTTTGGAATAAATGATTTCACTCTTGGTTGAGAATAACATTTATTCGACCATAAACCATCAGTCGCGTCATTTTATTGTGTAAGATTAATTCCTATATACAAAAATAATATCAGCATAATGGTCACTAAGGAAAAAAAATCTTGTGAGTTTATTCGATTAGTTTTACTAAAATTATTGATGTATATCAATTCCACGAATTGACTATTAATATCAACATAATAAAGCCCTGTATGGTTCATTACGTAAGTGCAATATGCGAATAACGCGCGATAGATATTTTGATAGCTGGCGAAACTATTCGAAAGTTATTATTTAAGAGTGGACGCAGAATGAAAAATTGGAATACATCTCCTACGAATTTCTCCCTTAAGAAGAGGTTTGTGCTTCGTGTATAATTAGTGCGATTAATGTGTCGTGAAGTCGGTGCGCCGCCATCGTCTTCCTACTCTTCCTATTCCGTGCGAACGATTGTTCGTTAGAGAGGAGAGCACAATGAGGGTCCGACGGGGGTCCATATAAGAGATATTTTACGGACGCTTCCTACCGCACTATAAATTTTATTGTATAAGACATACAATGTAGTTTATCGTTTTCTACAGTTTCTTCAATGTATTTGTACGTAACTCAACATCAAGGTACTTTAAACGATCCATTGTTGCGTTAATTATGAACATACATCTTCCTACTATACGGTAATAAATTATTTCATTATTTTTGTCGATCACGAAATTCAACTTGCAAAATAAATGAGTATTTATCGGAAGTAGACTCTCGCAACGTCGCATGAAGGACGTGTGACATACTTTTTACTCGTTGACATGATCGCCACCATCGTCTGGTTATCTTACTATGAAAGTGTTGATGATCAAAATTTCGATTTTTTTGTCCTCGGGCGAGCGTTGGAAATCTAATTCTATCAAACAATTAAGATATTTGTTGCACGTACGATTTACTTTTAAAATTTCTATGACATAATATTACATCCGATTTAAAAAAAATTAAAACGATTGATTAATAATTGTATTAATTATAGTAATTTTTGCTGAACACTTAATAAGTAAAAATTATTAATGCAACTAATCATTTTGATCTTTTTGAAAATCGGATGTAATATCATAGAAATTTGAGAAATGAATCATAGAAGAAATATCTTAAATTGTTTATATGATAAAAATCATTTTTCTAAAAGCGAGAGTAAATCGAAATATTCCCAAACTTCTAAAAATGTTTATAGAACATTTTAATAATGTACGAATATTTTTAAAATTTATATACGTTCTATTAATGTCGTCTGCTATCTGGGTGTATCTGAAAATTGATAAAATGTTCAGCTTAAATACATGAAATAAATCCACGTCTAAACAGTATAATGACTTTATAACGATTTTTTGCTTCATAAAAATTAACGGTACTTATTGCACCGTTATTCTTATTTGTATGCTACTCGGGGATACGTATTATATACACATTACTCGAGCTCATATGGCTTCACCCGGGCTATTTTCTCACTTATTAATTTTCCTTTCCGTAAATGCGATTATCCTCCGAGAGGTTATTTACAGCGAGATGTGCCGGCGGGTACAAGATAATAAAGTAACAGTTACCGTACACCCCGTATATCCCCGAATAGTTAAGGATTTTAACGCCATCGTGGTGATTAAAATTTTATTTATCCCCGCTCGTAAGCGTATCTCCTGTGTAATTATTTCCAATTGAAGCGTACTTCAATAATTACTGCAGTGATCAAAATAGAAGTTATTTTATTGTGGCTTCACTTTTCCCAAGCGCATTTTTTACGAATACAATAAAAGTGTTTCCCATGTCAATCGTCATGCTCCTCCATTGCGGATCCAGCCATTCATTAATTACCGATCGAAAACGGACTTTTTCTCGCTTTATCATCGCAAGATCACACTGATCGGCAGTAAGGCTATCCTGGCGTTCGATTATGGCGAAGTCGTTCGTTTATTTTTCCGCCGGCGTATCGGGAGAAAGCCGACCACTCGCGCTCGCGCTTGCCCGCGACGACGAACGTGGATTATGTCGTAACGTCGTGGCACAGTGCAATATTGTTTATGAAAAAGAACCCACAAACGGGCAAGCACGTGCTGTCTGTCGATGCTACTGTCGCGGTTGCTGCTGCACGTTATGTTGCACCAAACCGCCGAGAAAATGGGCCGGTCGCGCGGGCCGCTTGATTACGAAACTTTTTTAATTATGTAACAACGAAGTTTGCGCGCGGCGAAAATTCTTACGCATATTGCGGTATTGCTGGCCCGTTCAGAAAACATATGAGATACCCTGTGGTTCTTGTAGAAATCGAGGGAATCGATATAAATTGAATAATCATGATGAACGTTGGAACTGTTAGAAGATCGATTGAGATACCGATGATTTCTAACGTCTTAATAGTTTGTTCTTTTTCGAAGGATTCTACACAGCATGAAATATTTATATGACTATCATTTTTAAAAAAATTGTTCAATAAAATATTTCAAAAATATTTTGTAAGTATTTTTAAAATATTTTACAAAAATATTTTATAAATATTGCAAAATATTATATAAATATTGCAAAAAAAAGAATATTTTAAAAACTTTGATTTCTTAGCATAATATTTATATTTCAAAAATATTTCACGAAAAATTTCTGAATATTTTAAATCCTGCAATGAAATATTTTGGAAATAGTTTTAAAATGGGACGAGTTTTTCATCGATTCATCGATTGATCAATCGATGAATTAAAAAACTCACCCATATTTCATGCGATATGGGATACGTTTTGAACTAGTATACAATAACAAAATAAGTTAGTGTAAAACAAACTATGTTATTGCAATTATTAACAACATTCTTCGAAAAGAATAGATTCTTTCGCTTTGTAAGAGGAGCAGTGAAACTGTACGCCGCGATGTTTTAAACCATAGAATCAAATTATGAATAAATGGAATTGGAAAAAAAAGGTCGAATTTCATTAAGAGAAGCTGTAAAGGCGTGTCGCGTCTAACGCGCTTCTCACGTAAATTAAATTCACTTTCAAACGTGTGTACAATCGCCTCGCGGAATCCACCGATTGAAAGTGAACGTGGACGCATTAGAACGCATTGGACGGAGGCGATGAATTACACAGGTAAAAAGAGACAGGGGGAGAGAGAGAGAGAGAGAGAGAGAGAGAGAGAGAGAGAGAGAGAGAGAGAACGGTCGATTGGGATACCATTCGAGGTTACGGAAAACTTATTCCGCCTAATCGATGAAGTAGTGTCGACTGTATGAGATGAGAATTCTTGATTTAGATAAATTTACAATAAAAACGCAACGAATGCGAATGCTATCGTGATTCGATTGAAAGTTAAGGCGTTCGAGAAATGTTTTATTCTATAAATCGATGAAGCTATTATATCAGGTCAAAATTTTCTCAGACAGACGGCGAGAAACTACAATAATTAATGTATTAACATACATGAGAAATAGAAGAGGGGATTACAAATTAGCTAATTAATTAAATAATTAAATAATTATTTCGCTCTACTATTTACCTACTTACATATCTTGTCAGAGTTCTTTTTCGAACGAAAACTTTTTTTCTCGCAGTTGCATTGCAGGATATGATTTATTTCCTGCTGGTAAAATGAATAAATTACAGTAAGACCGACGAAAGTTTTCAGCGGGAATAAGATTCAAGGAGCGAGCGTGCGTACTCGATGCGTACGTGTCGTTGTGATGTGTGTGGAGGATGCATGCGTGTGCGGCGACCGAGTATACGTCTTTGAGCCGAACAAACTCTCTTCTCGTTATACTCGCGATTCCCGACGAGCAGATTAGAAATTCGTGACTTCGCTGGAACGATATTCGCTCGACTACTTGAGTTGGAAAACATTACGCAAAGAAAATTGCGTTATCGCGCGCTGTTTTGAGTGGAATTTCGCGCGACCCTTTCGATTTCGCGCCGACTCGTTCGAGCGGAAACGTGTTCATGGAGAGTGATCGGACATGGCAAAATTCAGTGATAAAACCAGTTTGCTCTCGTTGTCATTGCTATCGAGATGCAAAAAACGACGAGACGGGGCAGGAAGGCGCACAGGATGCGACAAGTAGCGAAAGTCCTGTCTTTATTGCAGTCTTCAAAGCGACTCGCTTTAATGCTCCTCATTTTTATAGATCCTTTTCTCTATTCACTCAGATGAATCTGAACCATCAGCCGCACATTATTTATACTTTGTGGCAGTTTATTATGCACTTTATTTGTATAACTGATAAATAATGAAGGTGCATTTTTAGAGTAATGAATACCTCGAAACTTTTTTTTTAAAGCTATCTCAGACGTGCATGAACTGTCGCAAGAGAACAATGATATTTTGACTGCAGGCTGGAGTTGAGAGCTCCTTCCAAATAAATACTGTAATTAGGGTCGGTGAGGTAACAAATTTCATTAAATTCGACGAAATGTCGCTTCGCTTTCTTTGCTTTCGAGGAGCGCACAAGTATCCAATATAACGCTGGAAATTAATAAAACATATAGGTACATAGTGCGTTTCACTATAAGATAGGTATAAACGTTTTGTACAAACAACGTTATGAAAACGTTTAACGTTATGAAAATTTCGCAAAATCAAGCGAGAGCCTTACTCCGAAATAAAAAAAATTAAAATCCGTATTTTTCAGAACCATTTCGGTCTTCTCGATTACGCAGCTCCAGCGAGAATGGAGAACATAATTCGGAGCGCACAACGCAAACAGATGAAAAGGCAATCAAACCTGTCTCTCTCGGCTCCGCTCGTTTTTCGCTAATCCCTCATGAAACCCACCGTCCTCACATCGACTGGCACTTGAAATGCAAATTCACAAAATACCGTACGATTACGAATGAGAGGTACGAGCACCTCGTCGAACGAAACTAACAGTGACGTGCGCCCGGAAAATGCCCGCCGTGCGATTTTTCGGTGGGACCGCGAAGACGAGACGACAAATTTTTCGAGCGGGTGCAGGGCGAGATCGCGTCCGGTCCGGTCAGAAGACTGCGCGATGGAAGTGGAAAAGCCACCAGCAGGAGCGTTGCGCTCCGACCACCATCGTCAGGTTGAGAGCTTTCTACGACCGACGATGAGGCTGGAGGAGGGAGTCGAGCGGTGCATTGGCGTCTTCGGGGCCTGACCGGGCATAGGCGTAATTCTACTGGAAGCTTAAAGACCTAGAGACTGGGAGAGAAAGGCATGAGAGAGAGACTTGGCGAGCAGGCACGGCACGTAGAAAGACACCTGCGTCGCCACCTGACAGAACGAGACACTCTCGTGCTCGTAGCCCAGGTTCGATATCGATGCTGTTAAGGTCATTGCTGCGTGCGGCAGCACGCAATCGTGATATTTGCTTTCAGCCTGCAATAGTCATCAGATCGATCCACAGCTATACTTTGCAATGAACCACCCAGACGTGTAATTACAACGAGACTGACATATGTGAATGATTATATATAGTCGCGATTTGTTTGATTTCAATTGATAATTCTTGACAATTATGGGTGGCGCGTTAGGTATTGCTGGTGCTCGAGCTTCGTGGACGATCCAATCGCGATTAGATGACAGATAGAAGTGGATGAAATCGATTAAATGAATAGTTAAATTTTTATGGCATTTGTATTCGACACCTATTGTCACGTTTGCTTTGTGTTGTATTTAAAGAATAGGGAAAGGTCATTCTATCAAAGGTCTCTCATTGCCTTCAGGGTATTCAATATCCGTCGCCAGTCCCTTCGTCATCTGTCACTGACCTGAAATCTAGCGTGCATACCACGAAGGATACGTATGAGAGATCAATCAGAAGAGCCGAGTGAAAGTGGAACGTCGGGCGTTAATATCTTGACAAAGGATGCTGGGAATAGTCGTAGGCGACACGTATGCCTCGGGGATGTTTCCAAGCAGTAATGATTCTGCGCGTCGCGACATCGCGGCAAATCCTGATGAAATGTAGGAAGCTGGTTTTCCTCCGTGGCGAATCTTTCGTAATCCTCCCCCCTATACGGAGACATCACGTACGATCATCATCGAGTTTTCAATAAATTACCTTCAGGGTCGCGGATCAAGTGGATAGCATTGCCGATACTAAAGGGAGTAACCGGATCTCCAGGCGACAATTGCGCGATTAAAGCACCGTTAATGTCATTAAACACGCAGAATTTGCATGCTACTTATTGACGAATGACATTTAAAGAAAATAGCAATATGTCATCTACAATACAGGTGTGAAGATTTCCTCAGGAACGTAATAACCGTTATAAAGTGGTTGTATGTAAGAATTGTTATATTCTCGACATTACAGGCAAAAGATTCATTGCATTTGTATTATAATACACAAAGTCTAATCGATAATTTATCTTGTTAATTTATCTTGAAATACTTATATTCAGATAGTGTACATATGATTTATTCTAATTAAAGGGGAAAAAATTCTGATACTTTAATGTTTACTGTTTCTCATCTTTTAAAGATAAACTAGAAATGAAATTTCTATAAATTTTGCTGTCAACCGAGCAGATATAATTGCCTTAGTTGCTAATTACTAGAATCAAATAAATTACGAACACTGAGCTGACTTCAATCTGTGAAGTTTCTTCTTGAAAGATTTAGAAATTTCATCAATAATTTGCGAAGCCGAACGAAAATTCTGTTCGCTACAGAAAGGAATGTCTAGCCTCCTGTCACAAGTTTGTACGAAGTCCATGCTTTCTTGGCCACTCGAGAAATCAAAGAGTCCTTTCTTCCTCTATCACTGGCCACCAAGGACGATGCTTCTCATTCTTCGTTTTTTCCATTTTCCTCTTTTTGCTCGAATTACGATTCGCTACTATACTTATTTGCAATCATAGGCTTTCTTCGCGCGGAAGGTCAAAGTACATAAAATCAGGTTTGGTGTTTTTTGTATCGCTTGTGGAAAGGTTGTTGTCCTTAATGATTTTTATAATTTAATTTGATTTATTTAATACGAGAGCACACTATCTTCGACAAACATAACTGCGCGCTTTCCACGCTCCAATTATTTTACATCGATATAAATCTTGTTGCATCCTATTGAGTTTTAATTTAATATTTTAATTTACAATTTTCCGATCTTCTCAGTTTATATCAGAGTACAACCGACCGGAGACATCGCAAATAGTGCATTAAAAGTAGAAGTCGATCAATTCTCCTGTCACTTTTACTACCGCCGATGTTAAGATCTCTTGCATTTAACGGAATAATAGTCTTTGATCGCGTTATCCTTGGGATTTTATGTAAAAATGCATTTTTATGCGGAAGAATCTGTAATCAAATCTAATGAATCGATGACAATAAAAGCTACATTGACAATTTAATAATTTAATGATCTTCAGAAATATTCGAATAAAATGATTGCGTGATGAGCTATAAAACCAAGCATATTCCTGGATCAAGAGGTTGAAATTATGAAAGATGCTAAAACGCTATGAGTGTTCCGAGTAATGAGATACGCAAACAGTAAACCTAAAATTGTAACATCGGTACTAGTGTCTAAGAGAGAAAGATAGAGAAAAGGGTGGGGTTCGGCTGGTCAGCCACAACGAGCTCTCACTTTCTATTGTCCAATCATGCCAAGAAATTGTTGGACATGAGTTTAATTTAACGCTCTTGTCGCAGACAGCAGAGTTTCTTCGGTCGCGACAATTTTTCAATTAATTCCTCTGTTAGAAGAAATTTGTATTTTTTAATTTACGATTTCTTTTTGCAATATATATTTTGATGAACACTTTTCGGAAATTTCATGCAAAATATAGCACTAGAAACATATTAAAAACGAAACTTTTTTTAGTTTCGTGAAAATATAATCTTTCAATTTAGAATCACAAAAAAAATGTTAATCTTTTTCGCAAACTCTATTTTATTTAACAGCGATAAATAAAATAGACATCTCTGTTACTTTCCTGCATCGGCAAACTAGGGATTCGCGTATTACTTTCACCTTCCTTTACATGAGTCGAATTATAATTTCAATGGTGTTACGCGTTCGCGAGAAAAGCTTATATATAAAAAAGTTTATTAATATACATACAATTATTTATAAAAAATATAGGAGTTGTTAGATTTTATTTCCATTCACATCTCTGTAAAGTTCATCGTTGTTGCCGTAAAGTCTCGGTGAATCATTACAATCGACCTGCAATATTAATATTAATTAAAAGAGAATCGAAATTAGTTCAAGATAATTGTATGCATTTATAAATTCCATGTATATTAAATGGTTTAAATACCTTAAACCACCAGTCACAAACGCGAGTAGTTTGACTAAACACTGTACCATTTGGGCAAAGGAAACTGAACTGACGTCCATTTGGCAAGCACCAATGCCACACCTTGAATATAAAAATAAAAAAAAATAAAATATTAATCTTATATTTTTAAAAATTATTATCTCACAATAAATTTTCCAATTTAATTTTACAACTTAACTCAAGTGCTTCTCCAATATTTTAAAATAAATAAAGCATAAATTTATGTTTTTCTCTAAATAATATTCGACTAATATTTTGTATATTCTTATAAAATAATCTGCAGGTTATTTGTTTAAAATATTTTAATTTTCTTCTTTAATGGATATTTTAAAGAGATCAACGGAATCTTATTAAGTATATGAAACTGCATTTAAATAATCTGGAAATATTGAAATGAGAGTTTATTCGGTGACCATATGGACGCACCTGACATCTGGCCTCGGGATCAGCATAGTATCCAGGTAACTTTCCTCCACAGGTAAACGCAAGTCCGAACGGCACCGAATTGTAAATTGGATAGTCTACGCCAGGTGTGTAACCATCCACTTGCTGCAACGCATAAATAATTATGTATATTATACATAGATAACTATCGTTTTTCAACAGATGTTACCAATTCGCTCACAAATCGGTTCCCTTGGTAAAATGAATCCTTTCTTGTAATGATTTATTACGAGTTTTCGAAGTGATTACATAATTATTACACACTGTATGTGGGACATTCTAATTTGCATTGTAAATCTCGGCGATTGCATAAAAACAATTAGCAAAAACAGTGGAACTTGGAGGAGCATACTATGAGTTACTGTTATTGTTCTGTTGGAACAATAACAATACGTTTCGACATATATCATCTCGACAATAGAATATGGAATGAATGTGGATATATATATATATATATATACCATATATACTGCAAATCGGACTTCCTCTCTCTTTAATACGAGCACATATATTTGGCCTTAATTAACTTATGTCAATAAATTTCATAATTCATTTCTTTATATTAATTATTGTATGCAAAGAAACGCTGCGATTATATGAAAGTATCCTTTTAATTATGTTCTAAATTATAAAAATTGCTCATTTATTTTATATTATTTGTAAATAAATTATTATTTGTTCAATCATTTTAATTAATTAAACTATTAAAATATATTAGAACAACATTGAAATTATCAATTTTTTTCAACGTTAAATTAATTGATATTATTTAACAACATTAATACATCAATGCTTTCCGATCCTTTATTTTGAGACTAGAAATAGAACGTGATGAGAATTGTTTTCGTAAGTGGCCATCAGTCAAAATGAGAAAAAATAAAGAAGCAGTTGCGACACAACGCATCGACTCGAAACCGTTCAGTGCGTACACGTGCCAATGTTTGACCGGAAGTCAGGTTACATTGTTCCTCCCTAACGGATGCACATCTCCATGGCTTTGTATACGATCTCTTGTTTACGATTTCACGTGTACGTATGCAGATGTATGATCTTTTCCTTCTCCACGCGCCGAATCTAACTGGTGACTCCAATGCGTGGTAAGAAAGCCGACACCGAAAAGGTGATTCACCTAGTTACGTTGCACTTTTACTTCCAAGGAATGACATGTGTCAAAGTTTAAGCAAATCCATCATGCATACATACATAGTAAGAAACTTTTTTATTTGTGCTAAAATTTGTCCTTGTTAAAATTTTTATGTTAAATTTTTAGCCTGAATGTTAATTTAATATAACGTGATATATATATATATGTGTGTGTGTATATAGTATACAATAAATATTAATAATGTGATATTTGAATATTTTGTTTTCATTTTTAATATTTAACTTTTCTTGGTAATAAAATAACAATTCCAGCTAGTGTCCAAATAATATAAAAAACTAATGTAATTTTAAAACAAAATTCTAAGATGAATAAAAGATGAATATATATATTAATTTAATATATTATAAATGTTAATTTTATTGAAGAAATAAGCTTCCACAATTTATTTCCAAATTATTATCAAAATGTTACATTTTTAACATTAATTTTAACATAATGTCTGTATTATTTTCTAATAATTTTCTAATAATTTTCTTATATATTCATCTTGTGTTAAAATGACAAAAAAATTAAAGTATACACATAAAATATAAATTTTACATAAATTTTGTAATCGTCATCGTTTGTTCAAGGAAAATGTATGTAACTATAAACATAATAAAATTATTTTATAATATAATTCAAAGAAGAAGATAATTTGATAGACTAAATATATTCCGATATACATATGTATAAAAAAAATTATGAATGAATTTTATGTGTACAAAAAATGAATTATTACAGAATAATGTGGTGAAAGATGCATTAGTCGAAGCAGGATAATGCAGACATTGCATAAATTAATTAAGTGTCTTATCTTTCCGTTTGTTAGCTTCGTGGCATTGAAGCTGCGTTTTATTTCTCGGCTTATTATTCTCTATCCCGATTTTCATCGGTTTCGCGTTCATCATTTCCGGTGAAATATGTCTTCTAGCTGCTAATTGCACGATCGGACGCGACGATTCCAAATGTTTATGCATTGTTTTCTTTTCTTCATTAAAATTAATTAATATAATATTTTGTAATATTTTATAATATTTTATTATATAAATGTAAATATTTTTTAATATTATATAATGTTGAATATTTTTAAATTAAAATAAGAAAAACGCAACGCGGCTAATTAATCATGTTAGTTTTCTTTTTAGAGATTTCTTACTTTTGTAATGTAATATCGAAATCATGACACGTTTATTTTTTGGCATTCTGGAATTATTCATGAATTACACTTAGAATTTAAATTGATTCAGAATAGACTTCGTCTAACTAGGCGCTTCGTATGCGGACGAGAGAACATGTTCGTGTAAGATGGTTAATTAATTACTTCATGTTACCACCTTAAGAGAAAGATGATGCGTGCAGGTACGGTTCACTCGCTGTTATTGTTACGCGATACATCGTGAGAAGCGACGATGAAAATGATAATTTTAATATATCGTGCTAGATTTTGTAAAAATGAAGTATTTACGAAATATTTCTCCCACCATCACGTCATACATATTGCGCAATCGTTATGCAACGAAGATAATTTTTCTGATTGATTCGTAAACTTTTTTTAACAACTACAGTATTATTTATAAGTTTTGAGAAACGATTTGTGAGAAGATCGGAAGACTATCACGAATTTTAACTTACCGCCATTGTTTCATAGAATAAAACCGCGCCAAAAAGCAAAAGAGCACAGATGATTATCTGGTACCTCGAAATCATCTAGAGAATTGAAAATTTAATTACAATAATATTGATAAATTAATTAATTGAAAGTATATAAAAATATTTTTGTAGAAATAAAATTAAATTCAGAAATATTCATTTTGTTAATTTTATTATTATATAATTTTAAAGTGTTTTATGCAAATTATTTTTGAGTATTGAAAAATAATAAAAATTAGTAAAAAAAAAAAGATAGAGGATTAAGTGATGTGCTTGCCTTTCCGAAAAATCTGATCCCCTTAGTCCGCAGTGTCGTAGTGCGTGGTGATCATTTATCTTTCCGTGTTCTCTGTCTTTTTAGTTTTTCGTGTACCGCACTTATTCGATTTGCTTTAAGGCGATGCTACTTCCAAAGTATCTTTCTTAAAGGATTGTTCTACGAGGTGGTGGTATATATATGGCTTTAGACAAAAGGGGGGATTCTTGAGAGTCTCTCTTTCTTGGGGCTCCCACATCAGACGAACGGAGAAAGAGAAGATCCCAGGGCGGTGGAAGGAGGGATGTTCTTCTGTGGTGCAGCAGATTCTTCTCTTATGCAATCGTCTTGTGCTCTAACACCCGTGAAAATATTCGTAATCGTCGTACTTGAACCATTGATACTCTGCTCTTCTTTCTGTCTCCCTAAAAATAGAAGAATAGTTGTAACTATCCATTTATTTTTTATCTCTTATTTCTTATTTATTTTACATCAGAATCTTTATAGAAATTTACCAAACTTTCATAAAATTTTATTTAGAGCTTAATTTTTTTATCGTGTAAAACAAGAAGAAACTTTTAGCTGAAATTCTTTTTTTGTTGTATCATCTTATGAACATATTAAGTCCATTTAAAGAGTTTAAGTTAATTTGAAAAAGATTCTTTATCATTCGATCAAGATACGCTGAATGAATTAACTACTTTTACTTGGGAGTTATGTGTCTAATTATTCTGGCAACTGTTTGAATTGCAAATGACTAAGGAAAATGTTTAGTTATGCAAATAAAAATATAGTTCTCACTTAAAGAAAACAAATTAAAATTATGATAAAAAAATCCACAATTTAATTCACATCTCCAAGTAGTGAAAACGACTACATTTTGCTTTTTTTATTCTAGTATTATATGAGTACAAATTTTAACAGTAAATTCGATTGCATACACTTAGTACGTACGTACTGGTGCACATTAAAGCCATTTTATACAAATTAATGTAGAAATATATGTTTAAAATAAATATAAAAACGGATAAACTATAAAATTCTCAATACAATTAATTGTACTATTAAAATTATTTAAAATGCTAAGTAAAATCTGTCTTTTATTTTTAAAATATTTGCACTTTATTTTTACACAAATTAAATCAATGTATTACGATTTTAATACGATTAAATATGATAAAAAAGAGACTCATATATTGATTTGCAAATTCTTGTTTTTGTAATGTCAGTATTCAACGCTTTTTTACTTCGCTAGAATATGATTGACGTATCATTTTGTTACATAAGCGTCAAATATTCTTAGCTCGTGTGATCGTATCGTTAATTACTGTTTTGTGCATCTAAAGAGGGTTGAGATCAACGCGTTGATCTCTTCAATCAGATACAATCCTTTTTTCTTTTTTTTTTTAGTTTAGATTTTTCCGCGAAACGGAAATGCTCATCAGCAGATCGGATCCCGAAATGATCGTTCTTATCATACGAGATATATCCAAGGTTGCGTTGTCGCGCAACGCTTGTCCGTCATAACACGATGCAACAAATGTGAATCTACGTCATTCTGTCTCTTATTACTCCTTGAAGTTCTAGTGATGGTACAATGGCGTAATCATCTACATCATTTCTGTTTTGGCAACTAACACTTTCACCCTGAATCATAATGACATTATAGTTTCAGTATTGTGATCTGTGCTAATGCTAGTATCTCCTAATAAGATCCTTTAATGACTGTTGGTAGATATTGGTGTGTATGAATTCAAACCATTATTATGATGTAATTACACAATATGAAGAAGACATTTTGAAACTTTTAATTTCGAAAATTCTTCTGGAGGGATTGAATGGCTCGTTGCTTTTTTGATCTGTGGGACAGTGATGACATTTGCGATGATTTCATCGCGCACGGAAAGTGATTGCTTCGGGAAAAAATCTTTATAAAATGAAGACATTAAGAACATGACCTTGTGATATATCATAGAATTAAGAATCGCGAGTCGCACCTTGCGCGAGGTCGAGCTCGTTCATTTGCATTCTACTGCACGCGCGTATCTTCCGCTCCGAACCCCTTCATTTTCGAAACGCGTTTCGTGCCAATTAGCGATGGATAATTGACAGTTGCAAGCTTTTCCAGATTGACATGTAAACTCAGAGGAAAATTAGACATCCGGCGGTTATGGGTCGCTGATCACTCACGTCACGAATTAACTACCATCGTTTTTTCCTTTGAAGCAAAAAAAACTTCAAGTATTATATTTTAATCATATAATTTCTCATAATCATATAATTTTAGATTTAAAAAAATTAATTATACTTTTCAATTATTTTAATATTATATAATTATAAATTTAACTACAAGCTTTGTAAAGAGAGCTCTTTTATACATTTTTTACACGCTATAGAGCAATTTTCTGATTACGTTGCGTTACGTTTTGTCGATTATATATTACTAAAACATTACGTTATATACAGATACAGATACAATAATAGCATGTATTTGAAGGAAACATCAGGAAACAAATATTAAGAGAGCGCATCCCTTCTCTTATTACGACCGATTTCGCACGGATCATATTGCAGTTCGCGTTGCGTGCGGATGCGGAGTGCCAGACCGCGGGCGTAGACTGTTGTTCCTAATTAAATTATCTGTCTACTAATTAGATATCGGAGCGATTACAAAATAAACGTGACAACCGTGGGAAGATCTGTTTATTACTTTTGCGCTCGAACGAGTCTGCGCTGGAAAAATACCGACGAGGAAAATGTCTCTCCCGTTCATTGAATAACTTCATTAGCACATTGTTATAATCCTGATTTAAATATTTATGTTGAGATTATGTTATATTGTTGGCCTAAAAACAAAAAAAAATCCAGCAATAAAAGATAAAGCCTATAATGCAAAAAGCGTTTAAGTATAATCTTCTTACAATTAGTAAAAGAATTTGTTCAGCAATCTCTTGGAACTTTTAATCAAGTCTATATGATGTTCTATTTCTTTTTAATAATAGTATAATGGAGTATTATCTGCGAGAAATGTAAGAAGTGTTTTAGAGGAACATTTCTCGCGCTATTCGCAGTCCAGTATCTTCGCACGATGCTGTCTGCAGTGTATAATCCCGTGTAATTTCATAACGCCTTGACTTCCGAGCGTCTTCTTTCCTGTCGCCGGATGCTAACAAAGAAGCATGAAAGTTATTTTCACGTTTTTACCACTCGCCGTGCGTCAAATAATATAATTCATCGCGAATCAGTGATAGTTACTGGAAGAGAATCCTGAAAGATGGAGAGATTCCTGAAAGATTTGTTGATCGCCGACGATAAGTCCAATGATACAAGAAATAAGTACTTGTGAATTACAACACACATGCTATTATTAATTATTTTTAGCTCTCTCTCTCTCTCTCGAGATGACTTCGCGGAGAGGCATTGTTTCCATCTATCTGAACTGTTTCATATTAATTATTGGTGTAAATGCTGATTTAATTACGAATCTTACGTATATTTTATTACGTCATATTATGCAATACGATTACGATTGATGTCTGAGTGAAATGAAGGATGGCAGCAAACTGAGAGAGATGCGTAGAGAGAATTATAATAATTTAGACACAACTAAATTTTGTGTCTCGCTATTAAAAGTTTCCGACCATGTTGCGCATCATTTCTGTCGCATGAATTTTATTGTGTTTTTTTACTTATGTAAGTAATAAGGATTATAATTGAAACTAAATGTCGGGAAGTTACTCCGCAACAATGTTAATGAATAATCCATTATTACATTTTATATATTGAAGGCATAAATTATTTAATTACTATTCCAAAAATTGTTATAATTTACAAATGGTCATAAAATTAATATGTTCTCTGTGCACTGAAAAAAGAGTTTCGGTAGTAGCTACCAAATGTTTAGTAAAATAATGCTAATTAAATATTTAGTTAAAATAACCAAAAGTAATTTTATTTTCCTAAATTTCTTTGGTCATATCGACCAAATTAAATAGTATTATTTCAATAAATATTTAGAAGAAATATTATCAAACTTATTCTTTAATTTTTGTAGACATGTAACTACATATTCTGTATGATTATACATTCTGTGATAATTCGAAATCATCTTCCGAGATCTCTAGAAACTGAATCTAAAAAAATTCCACTTCCTCGTCGCGATTAATGTCAGTGGCGTCAGAGCTTATCGCTCGTATCAACTCAAGTTTATTGCAGGTGTAGCAGTCTTATTCAGAGACATTCACATACATAATACGTGTACGCCTGTATCGTGGCTCGTTCCGTTTTATCAGTCAACGCAATTCCGAACGAACGGCGCGGCGTGTTGTCCCACATTTTCAGTCGCACGTACACGACAGTGCATACCGCAGGTGTCTGTCAATCGTTCTCTCCTAGATATTCCGGTCTCGGATTCGTCGTACAGAGTCGCGACGGTCCCCGTTGCATGTGGATGCATCGTTGCATCCGTCATCCTGCCAGACGCGACGATGTTTCCGGAAGCGTGGGCTTTTTCAGCGACCGCCGTCGTCGCTCGTCGCAGGTGCGTCGAACGGTAAGATCGAGATCGACTGACTGCACCTGGGAGGAACGTACATCGAACCTACGTTAATTTAAAACGTGCTGTGCGTACACGCGAGTACTTACGTGTATATGTGACCTCGTCAATCATGTCAATCATCGCCGAGCGCAGAAAAGTGAAGGTAAATAGTTGAAGGTAATCTGCCGCGTTTTTGAATATTCAATGCTTCCGATCGTTTACGAATCGCGTTGCGAGTTGCAGGATTCCGCACGATCGCTATAGATCAATCTTTTTGTCCGAATGGATTGTGATTTCTCTGATAAAGAGCATCGCGTTTGTGTTTCGTCGCGCGTTGCGACTTGCCGCAACTCGACTTCCATCGAGTCCGACGGCTCGCGACGATCATTGTAATTAACATGGGGCTATTGTTTAAATTAACGATCGATGGTACTGCGCTCGACGTGGCTATCGTAAGTTCTTCGTCCGATAGTTTCGTTCCCGTCTTGCCATGCTTATGCAATTGTAAATTGTACGCATCCATGCGCGTTTGCGCCATCGAACGATAAATCGCTCTTATGCCAGTTTCCACAATGTAGATTAACTTTAATCTTGGTTCAACTTACTCTTCGTCTTTTTCTAGTTCTAAAGATTAGAAAAACAACGAAGAGTAAGTTGAACTTGAGATTAAAGTTAATCTACGTAGTGGAAATGAACATAAAGAGAATAATTGCGCGTTTCTCATCGAATGTCTAAACAACGATTTGATCCTTAATATCTATGATACATGACATGTCTTTATCGCGGATGACTGTGCAGGGTATGATAAAATGGTTCAATAATTATGACGCACTTCGTATTGCTATTATTTAAAAAATAAATAAGAAAAAATAATCTTTAAATTAATGATTAGTGAATCACGTGTGATTGCAAAATTATAAAGAAGAAGAGTTTGATTTTAATTTAATTTTAATTTTGTACAATTACGTTAAAACTGCCTTTATGAGTAAAATATATCTTTTTATCATAGCTTATCTCTATGATAACTTCTTTATCTAATTCTGTAAATTTACATTTATGAAACATCATATTTTATCGTTTTACAGACCGTAGAAAAATAGTTTTAATTGCAAAAATGAAGAAGCGTAAAGGAGATAAATGGAAAATCGATAAATTTTCCATTTGAGTTATTTATTGCCATCTGAATTATTCGTTGCACATTGTATGAGTATCGACGAAATGAAGCAAATAAAAAACACTAGATAGTTTTCATCACCATATGGAACTTTTTGCGTGCATAATTTCTTCTACCATTGAATTTTACCGGCTTATTTTATCAGAAATCTTGATATATTGGAATTAAAAAGACATATGCTTGCTATATTTTTTTTGGGAATTCGTACTAAAATGATTTAATCATGGCACGACATTATATCGTCAGGTTTTTCCTCAACGAATTCAATCCGCTTCGAATTCTATGAGTTCGTATGCGTGGCACGCATCGTTAGAACTCCTTCGTGACACAACCGTAATAACTTCCGGTCAGACATCCAGCGGCGCTCGTTTCCGGTTCCCACCCTACCACGTGCATGAAAAGGAGAATTGGTTGATTTTGCGTTGTCAGATGTAATCATCGGCCAAATAAAACGTCGTATAAATTTCCGCGGCGTTTGCAACTTTTTTTCTTTCAACGAGCACGAATATCGACGAGCATGTACGGTTATTGACATCCAATGTGTTGCCAGCAGCGTAATTGTTTGCGCCATCAGAATATTTTTTTTTAATATTTCTCTTTATTATCTTTTATTATATAAAAGGCCGAGATTCTGCAAGGTATAGTCGAGGAGACTAACGGAAATCTAGGAAACCGTAATAATGAGCAGCGATTCCATTTCATCTGCTAACGCTACCGTTATCGAGCATCCCGAACCTTCTCTTTTTGCTGCTCACGCACATGCACATGGGTGCAAATTAATTTTATCGAGATGTCTTCTAATTTCTCGATGGTATGCACGATAATAATTTAACATACAAATACGTCTGTTTTACGCGATGGCGATTCCGTCGTGTCGATAAAACATATTTGTGCGTAAAATGGAAAAGCTTGTTTTAGAAGATATTATTTTTACAAGACACCCGTTAAGTATAGTTAAGTTGCTCGCGTTAACAGTTCTGCTATTGTACGCGGGTGTAACATGACGACAGGTGTACAGCTATGTAAAGGGCGTCCTATAAAATTTCCTCTTTCTCTTTTGCATACTATTTGTTGCGTTTAGATTTTTTTTTTTCTAAAATTTGTTAAAAATATTCTGCAGTGTACGAATAAAGTGCACGTAAAATGCAATGTATGTTTGAATAGCAATTTCCTTAATAGAACTATTTTTAATTTAATATTTATTTAATATATATTTTTGATACATTTGACGGATAATTAAAATATTTTAATAAAAAAGCAATATAAGAAGGCATTATTATATATGTATTATAAAAAAGAATAAGATTATTTATTCAAAACATTTTTTAATACAGTGATTTATATAATTTTTACAACATTAAATCTGTATTTTCCCATGTTGAGATCGAAATTTTTATTACGCATTTTCAAAATAATGCTCGCGGGTGTAAACGTGAACAACAGAAACACACCTGTAACCGACGGAATACATTAATGAATTCTTCCTCACCTGACTATCGGTCACTTGACTCATTTCCTGTGGATTGAAAGAACCCCCGGTACGTTTAAAATCGCCGATACAATTGCATCCCGCGCATCCGCTGTCGGGATGTAATCACGGGGACGCGGACAAAAACCCGTCATTGTCGCTACGCGTATTGCAGAGAACAGTGAAAGTTAAAACAGTGAACGTCTGATCGTTGTATAAAATTTTTTTGTACGTTTATTTATTTTTAATATAACAAGGATTGGAGTTTGCGGTACATAAATTAATATACAAAATATTAAAAATTTATGACAAAGTAATTACAAAGAAAGAAAATAAACAAGCAGGTAATTATTATTGTTGAAAGTGGTAATATTGTATAAGAAGAATAAGATCGAAATAAGAGCATAATTTTTATTAGTTCTCTTATATGTCGTAATATGGTAAATAAAGGTTCTGTTCGAGTGATTTTATTATAAATAGCACAAATATACGGTTCGATGCAGTGAAGTAGAAGAAAGGAAGAAAAGGAGGTTTCATGGAACCAACGATGCAAGGTGCAACACGTGCTGCCCGACAGCTGTTTTCCGGTTTAAATTTGGACGTTAAGTCCATTTTTAATTTCGCGCCCGGATGAACTTTCAAATAATAATAATTACAATGTTACACGAGGTGTATCCTCCTTGTCTGCTCTAATTCGCGAGCCATTCATCGAAATGCGCGGTTTATTTATATACGAAAGTCACATTTCAGAGAATGCGAAAATATATAGATCATCAAGAATTGTAGACATCTTCTGTAGTCTATTGTTTAAAAATTAATTAGGGCTTTGATACCAGCACGAGAGAGAATAATGCATCTTGATTGGCAAATTATTTGCAGATAGCCTGTTATTTTTCCTCCTTGTAAGAAACGAGAGAAAAAGATAAGAGGAAATCAAGAAAGAGTGGCAAATTTTACGTTCACCGTCTAGCTATGGAGGACGAGGACTTTGGTTTCGCGAAGAGGACAGACAATGTCTTAAAGAAGGTTTTAATGAATAATCATACAAAAATACAACTCATAAAGTTGGACATCTAATCTGTTCTCCACCTAAGATTAGTTCCTTAGGTGTAGAATAGAAAGAATTTTTATAGTATCTCTCATTACAAACAATAATTAACATTTAATATAAATCTACATGAAACCTCAAGAGATGTATTTTCACATTTTATATGATCTGCTTATAACTACAAATTTTTCAACGTATAAAATAAATAAATAAATTTTTATTAATTGTATTGCTGAAATATTAAAAAATTAATAAAATAAACAATGTATGAATAGTAACAAACAAAGATTTCAGATATTGTTTATATTAAAATATTAATATAAAGCGTATAAAATTCAAACTTGAAGGAGAATATATTGTAGAAAGTAGACTGATGTTTACAACTTGATAAAATGCAATTAGACATCGGAAGTCGTTGGTGGAGGTGGATCAACGACACCAGCGCCTCTGATTGGGGCCGGAAGCGAGGGCCTTCAACGCGCGTCAACCGCCGCTGGCTCAGTCGTGCCCAACACGCCAAACATACCGAACGTGGTGGAGTATCATCTTAAAATCAAGCCTAGGTCAACGACAAGGCACTGCCGGCTCGATAACATTCCCGTGAGTAACATTTTAAGACTCTCTCGTAGAGAATGCAGGTAGAAAAACGCGCTCAGGATTGTTTGTCGCGATAGGATTAATTTGCCGTTTCTATTAGCATTCATTATAAAATATTTGTAGAGTACGAAGCATTGTAACTTATTCCGTTATTCTACCATTCTTTTATCTTTATTTAAATTCATGATGCATTCACATTCTTTTGATGTATTCTTATTCGTTAGACATTTTTAATCATTAGTTGATTAGATTAGTTGATCAAAGGATCACTTGTGGATTGTTTTAAATTTTTGATCCTAAAATAATTACATTAGACCTGCGCGTTAAAAAATATAAATTTGAAACAGAGAGACCAGCCTCTAAAAGAGATGAAGAAGGAAAAGGTGTCTTTTGACGATAAGAAGAAAGATCTTGTGTCGAAGTTGTCACGTCTGTCTATCGATAATAATGTTTTTGAAGGCTCTACCGATTTGCCGCAAGTATTTCAGGTACAATTTTCATATTTTTAAATAAAGAAAAAAGTTTGAATTTTTTTTAATATTTACACTTTATTCGTTCCAATTAAATATGAATCATCAGAATATACACACCTGCAATAATATGAGCATTCGTATAATTTATATACATATATTTTTTTTATTCTACATAATATAAAAGCAATATTTAAAAGAAAAACAAAATTTTATGTGAAAATTTTGGAGTGTTAAATTAAAAAATTAATTAATGTTTTTAATATTTAAAATAAAATGAACTAATATTTTTTATTAAAAATGAAAAATCTATTTGTAATTAACTTTTTCACGATTGACATTGTAATCGTTTAAAAGATTATTTTGAAAAAGTTAAAAGGAGATTGCGTAAAATTTCAAAGCTTTGTTCCAAAAATTTTAGCCTTAGGAGGTCCGTTGCGCATTTGAATCTTTTAGATTGACCATTTTCAGGTGAAATATTTGGGATCCCATGATGCAAGAGGCCTCTGGGGCATCAAGCACACAAGAAGGCCCGTCGATAATATGGTTTCTGCTGCGAAGGCTTTGCCGACTAACACAATGCTGCCTCTTATCAAGCTAATAGTTTCTCAGGAGGGAGTGGCCTTGCTGCCGCTAGATAAAAGGAAGCAAGATGCCAATTTATCCAGAATGTATCCTATTGAGACGATCTCTTACGGAGTACAGGATCTAGTTTACACTAGAGTCTTTTCCATGATCGTTGTTCGCGAGACGGAGAACTTCAGGAGAATCTCGCCATTCGAATGTCATGGTTTTGTCTGCGAATCGAAATATTATGCCAGGCAATTGACATACGCTCTCGCTGCAGCCTTCGAGGTTTACTCCAAGACCGTAAAGGCTCAGGAAAAGCTGACTGGAGTCAGCGTAAACACCGCCAGGAAGAGATTTGCAATTGACCTAAGGAGCCCCGAGGAAATTGAGGCAGATCTTACGATGGATTCCGAAGCGTAACTTTCGAAATCTAACATTATTTATTAGATTAAGATACAAGTAGATATAAATTTTTTATTAGAGGAGTTTAAAAAAGGAATTCTTTAAAAAGAAATCTACAGGAAAAAGGGATTCTTTAAAAAAAATCTACACGAAAAATATAAAAAAAGAGTTTGAAAGCAATGAGTTCATACAGTATATTTCGAAAACTATTTCGAAATTTGATTTTGTATCTTATATAATGCGATATAAAATAGATTTTTTTATTATATACCTCAAATAATATTTTTTTTTAAAGGACAATGCAGGGTAGAAAGTAGTTTTAGATTTTCAAAAAAGTATCATTTTTGTCACTTTACACAGAGTCATTTACATTTTAATTTTTCAGATATTCTATGATTTTCATACACAGTGTATTGTTTAAAATCGAAATTAGAGAAATACATTATTTTCTACAATGGTACAATTAATCCGGCATAAGAAAAAGAAAATTTAAAGAAAATTTATCTCATTTGCATAAAAAATAAATTAAGATGCATTAGTAAATATATATACTATATACTATATAAATAAAAAAATTGACAGATAAATTTATGTAAATAGTTGTAGGTACAATCATAATCACTATATCACTATATCAAGTAAATAATTATTTTTTATTAATATCGTGAATGCAGCACGTTTTATATCGAAAAAAGATTTTCCATATCAGAAGAAATATATTTTAGTACACAGTTTTTTTTTAAAAATTATGTACTAAATCTATATATCTGTTATGAATTGGTACGCCAATTCGAAGATGAAAGAAATATTTATCATCAGAATGTTGTTATATGAATATGTGTGTCTTGTATAATTGTTTTATTATTTTATCGGCATTGCGAAAAGTTAAATAGATCTCGGTTATTCGAGGCATGATAGCTAGCTATCCAAAGATATCAAATAGAAAACGACAGAACGCGAGAGATGTGGATGATATTTCCAGCATCGCGGCACTTATATGATTTCATGAGAATTTTATGATGATTAACAAATCAGATGATGGTTTTGGATCTATTTCTAGCTGTCTTATGTGTGCATGTGTGTCTCTAGTTTAAGTTTCATTACTCTAAAGCTATGTAATA